GCAGTGTAAAATTAAAACTGAACGAAAAACCTCTTTAATCAAGGCTTTATCAACAACTGTGGAAATAAATTGCATAACTTCCCAAATTTCAAAGAGAGAGTTCGAACATAGATAAACTTAAAAGCTTCCATTTTACAGATTCAAAGAGAACAGAGAAAGTGTCTTTAAAAATGTATGGCACTTTGAGAGATATCACAGAAAGGTAAAGGTATTGCTGCAAGTGATCATTAAGTAATAATAATATAGATAAAACAGAAACAGATTTTTTTTTCCAAAAAGGCTTTTCTGTCTTTTGAATGCTTAGCTAGTCCAGTATTTTGAAGAGCCAGGGATTTATCCGTATGAGTATGATAATATGAATATTAAAAGATTATACAAATATGTCCGAGTGCATATGTATATAAATATATACATACACACACCCATATATATAATTGACATATTTAACAATCCGTTGAGTAATAAAATGATAAACTTGTTCCTCTATCGAAGAGCTTATTGTAATTAAGTAGTGGATAATACAAACAAAGCAGCTATACTGTTTAGGATATTCCAATTTAATTGTTCGTGTGAGTTTAATAGGAATATGTACACATCTATAGCATAACATTAAGCAAGATGCAACAGATACGCCTCTAACTCATTCGGAGAGACTGTCAGAAAGCTTAATCTAGGAGTAGGTTTCTTGGGTGGTATTAGAGTTATGTAGGTAGATGTGGCCGATTTGATAGGAAGGTGAGACAGCGAGAATACTTTCGAGACGTCGATCTTTTCCTAAACATAAAATTAAAAAAAGTCGAAGTTATATAATCATTAAATTTATTTTTCTTATGACGCTAAATAGATTAGGCTAATAAAGTATAGCAAATAAATAAATAATTCAAAGAAAATTTGGAGTTTATATGCTAGAATACATGTTGTTAGTATGTCCTGACTCATAATTATTGTTACATGAAGATCGTAAGATAACATGAAAAGGTCCTGTGTGAAACAGCCACTCTAGGTAGCCTAGAGAAACTTAAGTATTGATAGTGGCATTAATTTTATAAGGATATGAGAAGGAAAAATTATACTATCCCTAAATCACCTCATAATTCCATGTTCGTTAATCATATACATCTCATGGTCATGTTCCTCAGTATTCCTATTTTCATACTGTAGTCGAGATGAGACTCATCATTGAGTATTATTCCAGCAAATAATAGACATTGCCCTTGCATATAGTCTCTTTGATTAAATCCATGTAAGATGAGCAAACTGTGGAAGCCTATCCCTGATCGCTTGCAGTATCTCGAGTGAATTTCTAATACATTTCTGCCATAATGCTAAATTTCTGTAAAGGTTGTGCTTACCCGTCTACATTTAATTAAGCAAGTAAAAAATTGTGACAGCGAAAGCGTGATAGGAGGATAAAGGAAATGTAAATAGGCCATGGCAGAAGGGGAGATACCGTAGCTGCTTAGCACACGCTTGGTCAAAGAATCGGTATCACTTATCTCTTTGACGAGTTGTAATATGGTGCTACTGACGATGCCGGCGAAACGTCTGGAAATGTACCACGTCCACAGTCCCACTTTGTAAAGTATTATGCATACAATGGACTCTGGACAAGATGCGTTTCTCTAAGTCTTTCTACCAATATGACCAAGTTTTGAAAACAAGGTCAAACAACTTTTATACGACGAAAGGAGACTGAGACCGCACAAGAGGCTACACCATCTTGGTCTTCATACCTTAGACATAGATTGGTTATGTCAAAAATAAGCAGGCGTTATTATACAGACATAGACAGATTTCCTTTTTCATAATACGCGGACAGATACCAAATTATAGAATTAAAAGTAAACGCATTCGTAACAAAGTAGATTCTTCTAAGGGGACCAGTAAGTAATGTATGAATCAATATATTTAAATTTATATAAAAATGCATGAGAAATAGTATTGGTATCTCCTTAAATAAGAGCATTAGTAATTTTAAGTGGCCTAAGATGATGCAGTGCCTAATAGTTGAATTTATAAAAATAAAATGTATTGAATTCGAATAAGCCTTGCCTCGGAAAAAAATTAATCTCAGACAGGTCAGAAGTACAGATTTATGGAAGGATTTAAAAATTAAAAAATAATGAATAGCATTACAAACGATTTTAGCTAAAATCTAATTATAGTATCTATACATATTCGGCGTCTATATTACATACCTTTTCTTTGGCATCACATTGTAAAGGATAATGGGGAGGAAAGCAAGCGGGCGATATCCGACGAATCACCAAGCCTAATTGGATGTTGAAATCAGAAGAATTTGAAGTAGTTTGCAAACTAGAGTAGCCTAAAAGCAAATGTAAAGATATAAATCATAAAAGCAAAATAAGATGGTTAAAAAATTTAAGCTTATATTTAATCAAATATATTAGTTTGCTTTACAGAAAAAGCTACAACGCAGCGTTAATGATGTTAAAAATTTCAGAAAAAGATCTATCAAAATGAATGTTATCCTAAGAGTTGAGGTTAAATACAGAGTAATTATGAGCTTAGACGATTAAGATAATACCTTTAGCTACAAACACAAAAGGCGTTAATTATATGAAGATCAAGATATTATGGCCTCCAATATGGTCGCAATGCCCTTTCGATTATAAAAGTGGATTGACCTCGTTTTCGTAACTT